TCGCACCTGCGATCAAAGCTCTGCATGTGAGGTTACACCAGCAGAGGTCCAACTTCAGCAATCTCTCAACTTTAACTTTTGATCCGTTAATCATCCGGAATCAACTCGAGGCCCCCGGGACCTCAACCAAATATACCAACAAGTCCTAAAACCTCATACGAACTTAGTCGAGCCCTTAAATCACATCAAACATCTTCAAAAACACGAATCGCACCGCAATTCAAGCTTATTGAAACTAAGGAATTTCAACTTCTACAAACGATGCCGAAACTTATCAACTCACATCCGATTGACTCCAAATTTTGCACACAAGTCACATTTAACATTACAGACTTACTCCAACTTCCAGAATCGGAATTCGACACCGATAACAAAAAGTCCACTCCCGGTTAAACTTCCCAAAAATTCAACTTTCGCCATTTTAAGCTTAATTCCACTACGGACCTCCAAATCACAATCCGGATACGCTCCTAATTCCAAAATCACCCAACGGAGCTAACAGAACCATCATAACTTTATTCCAGAGTCGTTACTCATAGATCAACATTTGGTCAATCATTTTAACTTAAGCTTTCAACCTTGAGACTAAGTATCTCATTTAATTCTGAAATCACTCCGAACCTGAACCGATTACCCCGGCAAGTCACATAACAGTTATAAAGTACTAAATGAGCAGTAAATGGGGGAAACGAGGCTATAACTCTCTAAACGACTGGCCGGGTCATTACACCCATCCTTAAAAACTCAAAAGATATCTTCAAATAGTTCTAGTGGGTCATCCACGGCGCGTACGGTGACAAAAGGTCCTCTCAATCTTTATTTCTCGGCAAAACAACAAGAAAAGAGAAAATGTGATTCTAGTTTAGGTTTAGAAGCCAAGAAGATTTTGAGGGATCATGTCGTAAGTGCCTTTGCAATAATGGATGTATGGTGCAGGGCTTCCTTTCAATTGTACAAAACTTTTGATAAATTATGAGGTCGTAGGACAATATGGCCCAGGAATGAAGCCTCCTAGCTATCATGAAGTTAGAGTAACTCATCTTAAAAAAGAGGTGAAGAAGATAGACAAAATTATTGAGGAGCATATAGTGTAATGGAACAAGTTTGGAAGTTCCATCATGATGGATAAATGGACAACACTAAATGGAAAAATGATCATAAATATGTTGGTGAATTCTCCAAGAGGGAGTGTTTTTCTTGAATCTTATGATGCTAGCAACTCTTCTACGAATGGAAACAAAATGTACAGCTTGTTTAGAAAGACTATTGCTAAAATTGGAAAGGAAAATGTTGTACAAGTTGATACTGTTAATGTCACGATCCAAAACTTATCCCGTCGTGATGGCGCCTAACATGGTACTAGGAAGCCGACACCTCAAAACATTTCCAACACTTTTAAATAAAAGATGAACTAAAACAAGTTCGAATAATTAAAGCTTTCATAAACTGGATAAAACGTCAAGACTCAACTCAAAATTTCCCAAAAACCAGGGTGTCACTAAGTACGTGAACGTCTATACAACACAAGTTTGAAAATACTGTCTATGAAAAGCTGAAACTAAATACATAAAGATGAAAGATAGGGAGGGAGAGTCAAGGTATGCGGACGCCGGGCAGCTATCTTGAAATCTCCAAATGAATAAGCTACTCAGATAATCAGCACCCACCATGTCTGGAAATACCTGGATCTGTATACGAAGTGCAGGATGTAGCGTGAGTACAACCAACTCAGTAAGTAACAAGACTAACTATTGGACTAAAAGTAGTGACGAGCTTCACGGGTGAAATTCAATTAAGGAAATACAACACAAGAAAGTAGGCATGCTCTCAAGTTTGACAGTTAAGGACAAAACAGTTCAATCATGTCAAGTTCCATTGAAACAGGATATAGTACATCTCAGTAACTACATGACAGTTATATATGCCAGCTGAAGTACAACAATAATGAAATCAGGTGCAAACTCTCAGAGTAACAGTCACTCAGTCTTCCCATTCACTCCAACCTTACAGTCACTCATTCCTCACAGTCACTCAATCCTTCCAGTCGCTCGGCACTCGCACTCAGTAGGTACCTACGCCACTATGGATGTGCAAACTCCAGAGGGGCATTTCTAGCCCAAGTGCTATAATAAGCCAATCATGGCATGAATTAAAATAATATGTTGCGGCGTGCAGCCCGCTCCCATAAATATTCTCATAATCAGACCCTTGGCCTCACTCAGTCATCAACTCTCCAGTCTCTCGGGCTATCAAGAATCATGATAATCAGCCCAAACAATGAAGATATAATGTATCAATAAAGGACAATAGAGACTGAGAAAGAATATGCAGTAAAAGCTATGACTGGGTACAAAATGACAGTTTAGCAAATAACTCAACATATAACAGGACCTATGCGGGTCCCTACAGTACCAACACATAGCCTAAGCATGATTTCTAACATGATTGTCAGCTCAATTTCTTTAACACATGATGAAAATACGAATAACGACAAGATATATCCGCTATGTTGTTCCATGGAATCGCCCAAGTCACAATTCTTACGGTGCACGACCACACGTCTGTCACCTAGCATGTGCGTCACATAACACATAATTCGGGATTTCGTACCCTCAGAACCAAGTTTAGAAGTGTTACTTACCTCAAACCGTGCAAATCCCTACTCCAACACGCCCTTGCCTCGCGAAATGGTATCTGAATGCCTCGAATCTAGCCACAAATAGTTCGATACAATCAACACGAGCTAAAGGAATCAATTCCATAAGGAAATACTAAGTTCTTAATCAAAAGTCAAAAAGTCAACTCAAAAGTCGACCCCCGAGCTCACGTCTCAAAATCCGATAAAAGTCACATAATCCGAAGGTACATCCAACCACGAGACTAACCATACCAAATTTATCAAAATCCAACACCAAATCGACACCCAAATCCCCAATTTAAACTCTCCAAATTCCTAACCTCAAACTCCCAAAATTACACCTCTAAACTACACACTCTAGGTGGGAAATTCAATGGGGAAACATAATTATTTAATAAATTTAACCACAAGTGACTTACCTCAAGAATCCCTTCGAAATCCCTCTCAAACATCGCCTAATCCCGAGCTTGGAATGTTCAAAATGAAGAAAATCACGGAACCCTCGATTTTAATACTCTGCCCAGGCTTTCCGCACATGCTACAACTTAACTGCATCTGCGGTGTCGCAAAAGAGACAATCCTTCTGCTTCTGTGGTGAACCACTGGAACCAAGCCTTCTCACCTGTGGAAAATACTCCGCTTCTGCACAAACGCAGGTGCGACCATCTTCTCGCTCCTGTGCTGACCCCTCGCTGCTGCGCTCAACCTCTCTGCATCTATGACCACGCATGTGCGGACAATCCATCGCACATGTGACCACAACCTTCCTCACTCCTGGCCGCATCTGCACTTCCTAGCTCACACCTGCGACTAAAGCTCCGCAGGTGAGATTGCACCAGAAGACTCCAGCTACAGTACCCTTTTTAACTCCAAGCTTGATCCGATAATCATCCGAACTTCACCCTAGGCCCCCAGGACCCCAACCAAATATACCAACAAGTCCTAAAATACGATAAGAACTTAGCCGAGCCTTCAAATCACATCAAACAATGCTAAAACCATGAATCGTGCATCGATTCACGCCTAATGAACTTTTGAACTTCTAACTTTTACATCTGATGCCGAAACCTATCAATCACGTCCGATTGACCGCAAATTTTGTACATAAGTCACAAATAACACAACGGACCTACTCCAACTCCCGGAACCCCAATCCGAGCCCGGTAACCACAAAGTCCACTCTCGGTCAAACTTCTAAATTTCTAACTTTTGTTATTTTAAGCCTAATTCAACTACGGACCTCGGAATCCCAATCCGGACATGCTCCTAAGTCCAAAATCACCCAACGGAGCTAACGGAACCATCAAAACTCTATTCCAGAGCTATTTACGTACAAGTCAACATCCGGTCAACCTTTTCAACTTAAGCTTTTAACCCTTTAGACTAAGTGTCTCATCTTATTTTGAAACCTTTCCTGACCCGAACCAACTACCCCGGCAAGTAACATAACAATAATTAAGAAGGGAATGAATAGTAAATGGAGAAACGAGGCTACAACTCTCGAGACAACAGTCCTGGTCATTACAAATAATGCTAGTGAGAATGTTAATGCGGGTAAGATGATGGAAGCTATGTATTCACACATTTATTGGACTCCGTGTGCTGCCCATTGTATCAATTTAATATTTTGTGACATATTCAAGGAAAATCAATATGCTTCAGATAACTTTAATATAGTTATCTTTAAAGCTGTAACTTTATTTATACTTATGTACTATTAAGTATTAACTATAAAATTATTATTGTTACTTTTACTGTTTTCACTAAGGTCGTCAAGATATATTCTTACATCATTCAGAGGCCATTGTTGTTGAATTTGATGAGGAATTTCACAAATGAAAGAATTTTGGTGAGACCGGCCAAGACTAGATTTGCAATAACTTTCTTGACTTTGCATAGTTTTTACTTGTAAAAGAAAAGGTTGAGAAAGCTAGTTCTCTCAAATTAATGGAAAGATAATAGATATGCAAAAGAAGCTGCGGGGAAAGAAACTGCCAAAATTCTTATTTCTCCATCATTCTGGAATGACGTCGTTCATGCTCTTAAAGTTGGTGGTCCTTTTATTAGGGTGCTTCGTATGGTGGATGGGGAGAGAAAACCACCAATGGGCTATCTTTATGAAGCTATGGATAGAGCCAAAGAAACTATTGAAACGTCATTTGAGGGAGATGTTAGAAAATATGAGAAAGTTTTTGAGATTATTGATGGCAGGTGGTCGAATCAACTCCATCGATCTTTGCATGCAGCAGGCCCTATTCTGAACCCGGGATTATTTTCCAAGAATAGTAGAAATGGCACTTTGGATTAAGAGGTGTGGGTTGGATACCATAAATATCTTGAGAAGTTGGTCTCTGATGGAGCGATGGTAGATCAAATAGGGGAGGAGTTTGATAGGTACTCACAAGCAGATGGCATGTTTGGTTTACAGGCGGCCATTAGAGCCAGAGACATAAGGTTGCCAGGTAACTAACTTTAATATGGATAATCCTTATATCTTTAATTTAATTTATTTGATTTATTTATACTTATTAACTTTTAAAATATTTTTCTATAGTTGAATGGTGGATGCAATTTGGTCATCAAACTCTAAACTTGCAAAAGTTTGCCGTCAAAGTACTAAGCCTAACTTGTAGTGCATCTGGATGCGAGAGAAATTGGAGCGTATATGAGCATGTAAGAAGAAGATTTATTATATTAATATAGTCTTTAGTGTATTAATATTTGTATCTATTAATTAATCTAAACAACTTATGCGCAGATTCACTCCAAGAAAAGGAATAGGCTTGAGCTATCGCGTCTCAATGATCTAGTGTATATTAAATACAATAGAACATTGAGGCGTCTTTATAAAGCTCGGGATACCATTGATCCAATTTTATTGGATAACATTGACGAGGCAAATGAATGGTTATCTGGAGCTCCCCAAAATCATGAAGATGAACAAGTGTATGTAGGAGATGATCTTGATTGGGGTACTGTTTCTAAGGTGGCTGGAGTTGAGAAGAATATCTATGGTCTTAGAGGGAATTCTTCAAGTTCAAATTATATGGAAAAGGGAGTAGCAAGTTCAATCCGGTCCATAATTGACGAAGACTCCGAGGATGAAAAAGATGATAGCCAATATAATGCTAACATTCTTGAAGTTCTAGAATTTGAAAATCTTGAAGAAGAATAGATGTTGCTTGTTTTAGACTTTTAGTTTATGAATCTACTATGACTATCTATTGAGTTTTAAATTTTTGAATTGATATATTTATTAATATATTATTGCTATTGAGTTTTTAGTTATATATATAATATTTTATTTTTTTTGTATAAATTATCACTTCGCATAAAAAAGACGAGCGCTTCGCTGCGCGCCTCTCGCCTTAGTGAAGTGGGCCCTCCTCACTATTTGTTGCTGCACGCTATCCAAAACATCGGATCAGACACTCTAAATCGACAAATTCATCAAAATTCTCCGATCTCCAACTTCAACGGAGTTAATATTCATCACCAATTTCAAATTCCAACAAATTATAATACCAATTTGAAAAAAGCCACCCATGAACTTCCCCCAAGTCCTTTAGATCAAACTTTGCAGCTTCGTTGAAGTCGTCTTCAACTTCTGTGAACAATCCTAGGCAAAAAATGGTTGAACGTTTCGAAATTTTTTAAAACATATAGATGATGGAGCTTTTGAGTTGTAGGGAGGGAATGAAAAAAGAAGAAGATGTGAATGAGGGGTGGACGTAGAGTAGTGGTACCGGGTTCATCTGAACCTAGTATTTTCGACGTGAAGCATAAATTTATGCGTAAAAATTAACTAAAGTTGCAACAAATGGTAGGTCTGAACTCATAAGTTTAAAAATATGACATATTTAATGCTAAGAACCTTAAAGGTCGAACTCGTAGAGTTTAAATCTTGTATCCGCCTCTGATGTGAATGATTTCGGTTTGGTACCAATGGAGATGAAACCAAGGTTATACTGTTCGGGCGTATTTTTTTTTTCTTTGTTTGTATTAAAGGTGGTATTAAAAATGGAATGAGTATGGCAATGAGGTGAAGAGGATAAAAGTAAAAATGAGTAGTCAACAAGCGCAAATCTAGCCCATCTTTATAACAGCAAAGTTAGACCTAACCCCAACTATTAAAGAATGGTAACATGGGACTATTAAGCATAACTCGGAGAAAAACTTCGACCTTTGCCCAAAGAAAATCGAAAAAGAATAAGGAGATAGTAGGTATTATGACGAAAGGGAGGGGCAAAGGAGTGAAGAGAAAAATACCAGTCTCAATCACTATACCCCAGTATTGTCACCTCAGAAGTGGATCATTACACGCTATGTTGTTGTATTTGTATTATACTAAGTTCCAACTCACTCGCTTGACACAAGGAAACAACCAGTCCACCACCCCCGTCATTTGCTTTCACCATTGCGAAAATTACTACTATAAACCTAGATACTACTATTGAAAACTCTTAGCTATGGAATGTGTCTTTTGTATTACCCCTAGAATTTACAAGAGATATGTACTCTGCCGATTTTTCTGAAGATATAGTTTTGGATACGAGGCAGCAGACTATGACTAAGTTACACCATTAGTATCCAAATGACAAAGAAGGTTACTCCCTCCGTTCCCGATTCATGTGAACATGTTTAACAAGATACTAAGTTTAAGAAAAAATGAAATTTTTTGGAATTTGTGGTCCTAAACAAGTCAAAAAGAGTCCCAAAGTATTTGTGTGGTTATAAAAACATCTCATTAAGTGTAAAATTGTAAGTTTAAGCAAAATTATTTTCAAATTTAGAAAGGGGTCATTCTTTTTTAAACGAACCAAAAAAAAAATAGGTTCTCATAAAGTACTTGATATAATTAGCAGAGTACTGGCAATATTGGCATAGGACACCAAATCGACAGCGTTCATTTGCTACAAATTTGTAGCATGAAGAATTCATACTGGTTTAAGCAAACTACGAGCAATGGGAAGCGGGAGAGACGGCTTTCTTTAGGAGAGTACAAGCGAGCAGCGTCATGGTCCAAGTACTTGGTATCATCAGGAGCAGCGATAAAGGGGGAGGGAGAAGAGGAATGGAGCGCCGACATGTCACAGCTGTATATAGGGAGTAAATTTGCTTCAGGAAGGCATAGCAGGATCTACAGAGGAATTTACAAGCAAAGGGATGTGGCTATTAAACTCATTAGTCAGCCTGAGGAAGACAGAGACTTGGCTGCATTGTTAGAGAAACACTTCACTTCTGAAGTTTCCTTATTGCTTCGGCTAAATCACCCTAATATCATCACTGTGAGTATGCTTGATCTGATTTGTTTTCATTTCTTATATTTCCTTATAAACTTAATATGCTTGATCTGATTTGTTTTCATTTCTTATATTTCCTTATAAACTTAATATGCTTGATCTGATTTGTTTTCATTTCTTATATTTCCTTATAAACTTAATATGCTTGATCTGATTTGTTTTCATTTCTTATATTTCCTTATAAACTTACAACAACAATTATGCTTCAATTTGTATATATATATGATCATCTATATCCGTATCACTCTATTCCATTGGCCGGAGATACTTACTTGTGCTTTGTTTTCTCCAACTACATTGTGGAACTTGGAGGAATTGTCGCACTAGGACGAGTATGCCATAATGCTATACTGTGAAAGCAAGCACATTGTAGCACATTCCGAGTTCTTCCATAATACATGCTGATTGTTGGCACTCAATTACATTAATGCTCATTCTGAGACTTCTGCTCTTGATTTCCTTCTATCTATAACATTGCACGTTTTGCCTTTTCGATTATGCATGGAGATAAACTCCTTCACAATTGATATTCAGTGTGATATGATTAGTGTCATTCACAAAAATATCATGCTCATTCCAGCTGTGAAACTATCTCACAAATTTCTGTACAAACAGTGCAGTAGTAGATTTTGTCAAGATAGTTTCATTTATGATTTCAGATACTCTCTGACTTAGGCATTCAATCTTGATTTTGCCATTAAAATGTACACATATAGATATTTTGAATCCTACCCCTGCTACTTCTTTTCACTAGCTCAATTTCTCTACTCTCAAATGCAGTTCATTGCAGCATGTAAGAAACCACCTGTGTTTTGCATTATCACGGAATACCTACCTGGGGGCTCCCTAAGAAAATACCTCCAACAGCAGGAGCCATACTCGCTCCCTCTCAACCTAGTCGTGAAATTGGCCCTTGACGTTGCACTAGGAATGCAATATCTTCATGCTCAAGGGATAATTCACAGAGATCTTAAGTCAGAAAACCTACTTCTTGATGAGGATATGCATGTGAAAGTGGCAGATTTTGGGATCTCATGCTTAGAATCTCAAAGTGGAAGAGCAAAGGGGTTCACCGGTACTTACCGTTGGATGGCACCAGAAATGATCAAGGGAAAGAACCATACAAGGAAAGTTGATGTTTATAGTTTTGGTATTGTTCTATGGGAACTTATAACTGCATTGACACCATTTGATGACATGACTGCGGAGCAGGCGGCGTTTGCAGTCTGCCAGAAGGTATTTTGTCTTATGGATTTTGTGCTTCCATTATAGCTGATGTTGCCATTTTTTCATGCTGGTTGATGTGATTACTTTTATGCCTTTGTTTAGTTAGTTTCATGATTATATGAGCCAAGATAAGAAACTACATATATATAAATGGCTCTGCTATAAAACCACACTGTTCTTTAGTTTAGAGAATTACTTTTCTCCCATGAATTGTTGCATTAGAAACAATGTTTTTGTGAACAGCTCTTTTCTGCTGCATTATTATGCACATTTATCTCTGGCACATTTGAACTTGGAAAGGAAGCCTTAGTTTCTTACTTGAATTGGGATTTTGGCAGAATGCACGTCCACCATTGCCAGCTGCATGTCCAACAGCATTTTGTAAACTCATCAACCGATGCTGGGCAAATAATCCAAACAAGCGGCCATACTTTGAGGAGATTGTTACCGTTCTTGAAAGTTATGCAGAATCACTTGAGCAAGATCCAGAATTCTTTTCATCAAATGAGCCCCCTCGACATCATATCATGTGGCAATGCTTGTCTAAATGCATATTGTTTAAGCGATCTACTTCTCCGAGGACTTAGGAGATAGACCTGATATTATGCATCGTGTTTTTTCCTTGAGCGATCTAGGTTGTTGTACCATATTTTGGCTTCCTTGTGTAGCTTTCACTACTCAACTCTAAATTATAGTTGTAAATTTGTGCTGAAAGGTTTTCTTTGTGGTGTTGGAGACATTAATCCGTGAAACGTGCATTAGTATTCTGTTAAATTTTAATAAGGAAATATTCTTAATGAGAAGAGTGTAAAATAGATACTTTTACTGTGTCGTTGTATATATATATATATATATGATCACGCCCAACTATTCCCAATAAAAAAACTAAGCGGTCGCTGCAAATATAATCCGGTCTATGACGTCTATGATCGGAGTAGAATCCCACATAGAACTAAGGCTTAGCTACAGTTGTTCACTATCACTAAGAAGATAAGTTTGAACAATTTTCTAAATTATAAAGATTAAAAATTTTATTCTAACTAATCAACTAACAAATACTAGAAAACAGTAAAATTATCAACAAACGAGGATGGAGTTGGAGACAAAATAAAGGAGGCCTAGAGTTATGATTTTCCCAATTTTCGGAATCTTTTACGGTACGTCTCCTATAATTTCGCATAAGTATTCTCTACCGATCGTGAGTACTTCAGGTTTCGTAATTCTCTTCCGAGCAACTACCACAATTTACTAGACGTATTCTTCCGAATTGCATTAGCTGGTACTAGTTCACCGCTCACCAAGGTTTCGTTATTCCTAATCCCACCGTTAAACCCTCCGTATTGATTCCTCACATACGTTGGGAGTAATGTTGTTCAACAATTACCTAAATGTGTACCATTTTCTCAATAATACACACTAAATAGGCATAGTTAATTGAGAGCACTTCAATCAATAACATGAAGTAGAGAAAAGTCAAGGGCAAATTTATATTAAACGCAGTGGAAAATCACCCTCCAATAGGTTCCATCAAACCCTAGATGAGAGAGTTTATCTTCTCATAATTGTATAAATAATCATTGTAATATTCAAAAGCATTAAACTACAGATTAACGAAGAACGGAGAGAAAAACTCTTGTGATTCGTGCTTCCAAGTGTTCCGTTGTCTTTTTCCTCTCCAATAATGTCTCACCCTCTAAAACTAACTTTAAGAGGTATTTATATGGTAGGGATAACATATATACGTCCAAAATTAAGACGGAAATAAAAGTAGCTCGGATAAGTTTCGTCAACGCGGGGCATCATCAGAGGCGCCAAGATACATTGCAAGGCGCCATCAGAGGCGCCAACATACATTGCAAGGCACCATCAGAGGCGCTAATGTTGATGCCCTGGACAAAGCCTTGCACTGTCTACGGCTGCGACTTTTCATGGCCTTGCAATGTCTTTTTTTATTGCTCTATTTTGTAGCTTAAAGGTACCATTTCCTTCAACTTTTCTTCACTTCATATCCTAGTGTTCCTACATGTAAAATAAACTCAATTAAGCTTAATTGTCGCACGAATTAGCATCCAAACAACAACCTAGTAAAGTGAATAATGTCAAAATATATAGAATTATAGCACGACATCAACACCCCACACTTAAATGTTTCTCTCCTTTGAGTCTACCAACTAAACACTTCCTCTTCAAGTCCCCAACAAGTCACACATTTACGGCACACTACACCAATGACCATGGTTGATAGAGACAATTAAGCTCTAGCATATGCGGTCAAAATACAGTTCACGTACATATGCTCAATTTTAACATATCCAACACATGAACAACATGATTATAACAATACTAGCCTTGAAAAGTAACTCAATGTCACAATGCACCCAAGGCTTGAATACTTAATATAACAGAGAAATTTAATAATGTTACTTATCCCTTATGAAACCACGTGCCCTCACAATAAAAATAAGAGTGTAAGCAGTCCACACATCTAAATCACATGATCAAATATATTTTAAGGACTCACACATATGAATAAAATCACTCACTCTCTCAAAGAAGTCACATGCACGAAAAAGGTCTATAGGCTTGTCCTTTATGTAAACCTCTACTAATGTACACGCTCAGTCCAAAATAAACTAGCACTTTATTATGATTGTAATGTGGGCTAAGAGACATGTATGATATATTTAGGATATAGTGGCTAAACCTCCTAAGTACTTTAACACATCACGTATTCAACTTTAAGCGCAAAAGTTCATCCAATCCACCTCAATCATCACAAAATAGCTCACCCCAGAATATTTTTTTCTACTTCTTTAAGCATTACTAAAGATCACATCCCCTAGCAAAAATAAGAAACCTTTATTATTATTAATTTTTTTTCCTTTTTGTTTCTTTGCCGCTAGTGGAGCTTTCATTTAAAATACAAGTGCACATATTTTCCTTCTGTTGGTTGCACTCAAAAGCTACCCCAAGTTTCCTCACTACTTCATTCTAGCGCTTTCTTTACAATTCAAGTGCTTTATGAGGTATAATGATCAAAATAATTCAATTAAAAATAAAAGGTGATAGGCTTGTAATGCGGGTGCTAAAAGAAAGGCTTATAGGCTTATAAGGATAAATTAGGGATGATTTTATTTGTGATAAGTAACAAAACTCAAAAAGATCACAAAAAGCCTAACATCACTTTTCAAACCGAGCAACACCTAGGATTTCGCTTCAATTTATATTTCGGGCAAGTTCTAGACTCAAATGAAATAACATGGACTATACAAAGAACTCACTTCGCACATAGCACATGACTCACTAAGGATGGTCTCATTCGTACTCTCAATCAAACAAGTATTCACAAAGCCAGGAGATATATTAAGCATAAAGCACAAAGTGAATACAAGTCAAGTAAACGAGATATACGAGTCATACCACATGCTATTCATTTTTATCAAGGCATCATTATATATTCAAAATCAAGGGAAGGTGAAACACATACCTAAACATAAGTATACAACTATCAAACAAGTCAAAAGGTGTGAATCACGTCATTTCTTCTGCTTTATTTCCTAAACACTACTCTATTCTACTAAAACAAACTACTGTCCGGTTCAAGTTACATCCAATGAAGAAGAACCGAGACACGAAAAAAATTACGGGGGATTATTACTACCCAAGAAAATTAAAAAGACACATTTTTGTATTTTTCTATTTTTTAATTTTTTTATATTTGTTTTCGTTTAGACTTTAATTCCTCAAGAAAACTGTCTAGGAGATCCATCATCAGGAAAAGTCTTTTTTTTTCATACTAAAAATACAACACTACTAAATACTATTCTAAGGGTTATACTAATCTATATAAGCATCCTAAGATAATAAAACAAAAAGCTAACAATAAAAAAAACAGGAAGATGGAAATAAACATTAAAAAAATAAAATACAAGAAGCTAATATGGTTAATAATATAATACTACTATGCATAAAGAGAGTTATCCACCCCACACTTAAAAACATGCAGTATCCCTAATGCATAATTAAAGTAGTAAGGGTGAATACGAAACTCCCTAATCAGTCCTCGAGAACATGTCCCTCATCGAAAAAGGCTTTGTCAGCCTCATCCCAATCATCAACATCATCACCCAGATCCTTACCAGTGGAATCAACCTCTGGAGCTACCTGCTTCTCATCGCTCTGTACAAAATGCTCTGGAGTGTTGACATCTTCATCTGACGGCGGCCCCTGGCCTTCAGCTAACAACTAATCGTTATGCAAGTGGGGTGAGCGGGATCCACTCAGTCAATTGAGCTCTCTCCTCTGGAGTAGCAGGCCTACCCCCAATCCGCAACTTCAAGTCCATCATCCCATACAAATGAGCCATGACGCTCTCATCGCGAGCCTGATGCTCGATTGTAGTCAATGTCGTACCATCTTTCCCATCGGGCCCACAGATACAAGAAATGTCAGTCACTCGAGATGGGGCTGGAATCAACATGTCAAACCTGGGCTCCTCATCCACTTGCTCTCGACGCAAATATTGCATAATCACATTCACAAAGAATATCCTAGTAAGCATTCCACTTCTAGATTACGCCATTTGACTTTGTATCAATTGTCCCACATTTACTTGCCTCCCTATCAGCAAGAAATACACTAGACATACTCTCTCTCAGACAACATTAGAATCATGATCACATGGAAGTAGTCTCGTGTTCACCAAGGGCAACCACACTTTAGCATTTTCTTTTGTAAATTTCACTTTAGGCAAAGAGGCGCGAGTGTTGTATCTCTTGTCCCTCATCCACACCGCATTCGAATTAACACCACACAGCATGTCCCTAATATCTTTGTAAGAAGGCTGGGCAACAAAGTCACACAATGGACCCGATGGAACATCAGGGCATCCAAAAATCTACATAATGCACCAGCCAAAATATCAATAAGCCTCCCACGACTAGGCACCAATTTCTCCTCAACCTCAAGGTTCCACCCGGCATATAACTCTTGGACTAAAAGTTTGACTCTCCCAGATTTTTAAAGACAAAACTCAATCCCAAATCATGTATTCTTTTCCAAATTTGAGCGTAACGGGACTTCAACTTATGCTTATCAACTGCAAAATCAGGGTGATATGAGTTTGGATGACACTTGCTGTACCATGACCTCCCAGATGGGTGCACACACTTGATACATACTCGCAAGTCACCTTATCTTGATGTTGCTCCTGGGTAGAAGCAAAATCCACTTAATTTCCTTTACCACTGTGACTACCAGACGTAGCCTCAACTTTGTTCCTTTTCTTTGGTGGTGGGCCTGACATGTTAGCCTTTTCCTTTGGCGGTGCTTTGGCCTTAGTTGATGCCTTAGAACTAGGCGTTGGATGAACCATATTGTGCGTACCTGCAACCATACCAATTTTCAATTCAAGAAAACAAGAATTATCATAAAAATAAGGTCGGAGTTATCCACACTTAAAGCTCTAAGATATGCTAATTAACTAAACCATAGGCTACTCAGACGTCGCCTTCATCAAGTAAGTGCATTAGCATCTAAATTTCGGCACTACAAATAGCATGTATGCCATTTCCCGACTCCGTAGAGTCACCCCACACTTAGTTTTTCATATCAATCATGCTCACCTCACATAAGTCAATCAATCCCGGAGACTCGGGCTCAAATTTGGACTAAAATCGTCAATGGGGAAATTTATTGAACACCTTGTATGCATTATTTGTGTATGATTTCTTTCTGGGTAAAG